TAAATAGCTTTCTTAAAATGGCCCATTTCAGACCCAGTTTGGTGATTGATGATTTCACTGTGCTTCGAGGCAAATGATTTCACAGTCATTGGGTGTATAATATAATGATGTTTTTATGAAGCCATTATATCACTAAAAATATAATTATTATAAATGAAATTATAAGGGAAAAAGAGAAATCTTCACTCTGACAATGCCAAATTTTGTACTAAATCATAAATTATGCTTCTGTAAGAAAAACTACACATTTCTTCTATGGGACAAACCTAAATGCACCCTGAAAACCTAATAATAATGGAAAAGGACCCACAGTGATATCCTGAGTCCCTTGTGTTCCTGGGAGCGGCTACCTTGTGTTATTGGTAGGGAAACACCACCACCTTGTGGACAAATAGGAAAATGGCTACATTTTGCTCAAGTAACATCAGATGGTGTTAAAAAAAAAACAAAAAACACCAGTTCTTTCAAGTTTCTGAAGCGCTTTCTACATTAATAGTGTTATATTTGTATTTCGAGGACAGCATAGTATTGCTGATAGAGATTTATAAGTGATCTCAAAGCGCATTCAGGGAAACACATCCTCTAAATACAGCTTCAAGGATGCTTTCTAAATTCCAAATTTGGTTATGGGTACTTTTTTTAAGCAACACTTAACTTTATTGCACATTTGCCCAACACATGCCTGCCTTTTGTAGTAATAATCTTTTAGGTTTCTATTGAATTTAGTAGATATCAAAGTGCTTTCACATCTATTATCATTTTTTTACACTTTTTATTTGGCATTGCGGTATAGTTTATCAACAATGCTGTGACAGTTTCAGGAGAACAGTGAAGGGACTCAGCCACACACATACACACACCCGTTCTCCCCCAAACTCCCCTCCCATCCAGGCGTCCACTAACATTGAGCAGAGTTCCATGTGCTATACAGTAGGTCCTTGCTGGCTATTCGTTTTAAATACAGTGGTGTGTACATGTCCATCCCAAACTCCCTAACTATCCCTTTCCTCTGGCAACCGTTAAGTTCCTTCTCTAAGTCTGCGAATGTCTGTTTTGCAAGTAAGTTCGTTTGGGTATGGGAACCCACTCCAGTACCCTTGCCTGGAAAATCCCATGGACGGAGCAGCCTGGTAGGCTACATTCCATGGGGTCGCAAAGAGTCGGACACGACTGAGCGACTTTACTTACTTACTTGCTTACATACTTACTTACAAGACAACCAGAAGCTACTTGAACAAAATGCAGCCATTTTCTTAGTTGTCCACAAGGTGGTGCTGTTAGTTGGAACTAAGCTTTCTTGATAGCTCAGACTGGATATTTTTTAACACACCCTGATGCTGCTTGACAGAGGAAGAGATGATTGGATGGCATCACCGATTCGATGGACACGAGTTTGAGTAAGCTCCGGGAGTTGGTGATGGACAGGAAGGCCTGGCGTGCTGCAGTCCATGGGGTCGCAAAGACTCGGACACGACTGAGCGACTGAGTTGAACTGATGCTGCTGCTGCTAAGTCGCTTCGGTCGTGTCCGACTCTGTGCGACCCCATAGATGGCAGCCCACCAGGCTCAACCATCCCTGGGATTCTTCAGGCAAGAACACTGGAGTGGGTTGCCATTTCCTTCTCCAATGCATGAAAGGAAAAGTGAAAGTGAAGTCGCTCAGCCATGTCCGACTCTTAGCGACCCCATGGACTGCAGCCTACCAGGCTCCTCCGTCCGTGGAATTTTCCAGACGAGAGTAGTGGCGTGGGGTGCCATTGCCTTCTCCAGAATTGACGCTACTTGAGCAAAATGTAGCCATTTTCTTATTTGTCCACAAAGTGGTGCTGATGGCTGGGACTACAACATACTTTTTAAAAAGTTGCTCACAGTAAGAGAAACCATCAAAAATAAAAGGGCAATCTACAGAAATGGAGAAAATATTTGCAAATCATACATCTGATAAGGGATTAATATTCAAAATATATAAGAAATTCAATAGAAAAAACTATTTTAAATGGACAAAAGAACTCAATAGATATCTTTCTAAAGGCCAACAGGTACATGAAAAGACACTCAATGTCACTAATTATTCAGTTCAGTTCAGTTCAGTCGCTCAGTCGTGTCTGACTCTTTGCGACTCCATGAATCGCAACACGCCAGGCCTCCCTGTCCATCATCAACTCCTGGAGTTTACTCAAACTCATGTCCATCGAGTCGGTGATGCCATCCAGCCATCTCATCCTCTGTCGTCCCCTTCTCCTCCTGCCCCCAATCCCTCCCAGCATCAGGGTCTTTTCCAATGAGTTAACTCTTCACATGAGGTGGCCAAAGTATTGGAGTTTCAGCTTCAGATTATTATTAGGGAAATGCAAATCAAACCACAATGAAATATCACCTCAGACCTCGAAGACAAGAGACAATAGCTTGCTACAACATTTCGCTTATATCTTTCTCAGGGCACTTTGATAGCTAATAATAATAGCTAATATTTATGATGCAAATTTATCAGAAATTTAAAAAGCCTTTTTCTATATTAACTCTCAATATTCATCATTACCCTAGGAGATATCCCATTTTACCGCTGAAGAAACACAGTTATGTGGAGGTTATACAACTTACAAGTGAGGGAGACCTGGGTCCGATCCCTGGGTAGGGAAGACAACCTGGAGGAGGGCATGGCAACCCACTCCAGTCTTCTTGCTGGAGAATCCCGTGGACAGAGGAGCCTGGAGGACTGCAGTCCATGGGGTCTCAGAGTGGGACACGACTGACTTTCACACACACAGACACTCACACATAACTTTACCAAGTCATCAGACTCAGAGACAGCAAGGTTTGTCCACCGCAGCAGCGTCTCCAGCAGCCACGCTCTTAGTTTTCACTTTTCTGGCTGTGCAGGCTCTTCGCTGCTGCACACGGGCTTTCTCTGGTTGCAGCGAGTAGGGGCTCCTCTCGGTTGCAGTTTGAGGGCTTCTCACCGCGGTGGCTTCTCTTGTTGCAGAACTCAGGCTCTAGAGCGCAGGCCCAGTAGTTGTGGTACATGGCTTAGCCGCTCCGCACGCAGATGTGGGATCTTCCCGGACCAGAGATCGAACCCATGTCTCCTGCATTGGCAGGTGGATTCTTTACCACTGAGTCACCAGGGAAGCCCTAAACTCTTAGTCATATGTTATATCACGTCTCACTGCACATTATTTATTTAGATAAAGGCCCTTAGGATCAGGCCCTGAGTCAAAACGTCTTTTGTATTTTCCTGTCACCGAGTGGTGTAGGAGACAAGGCGCTGCCGTCCAAAGGCCTGCGGTTCCTTCTCACCCAGCATGTCTGCTTCTGTCTTTCTGTCACAGCCGAACCTCGTCAAGTCACACTGTTCCGCTCCCTCCATTATCATACACCAGGCTTTAGAATCTTAATATTTTAACTGACGTTTAGGCAAGGTCTAATGTGAAGCAGGCATTGGATGTGGATGTAAAGGAGACAAGGATAAATAAGCACATGGTTCCTGTGCTTTAAAAAGCACACAGTTAAGCTTTAGGATGAGAAATGAAGGCTCTTTGGGGAAACACAGGAAGTCATTCAAAGACGGCTTTTTGAAGGAAATGAAGGTAGGTAAGCAGCTAGGGCAGCATTCTAGGCAGGACAAGTAAAGGCAGAGCTTTCAAGCATTTCCAGTCAGTCTGTGAGGCTGGGATTATGGCAGCATGGGTTCCGTGGTGGGAAAGAGGCCAAGATTACCAGTTCACTAAGTGCACTAGAATTCTCCCTCCTGAAAGCAGGAGGCCTCCCTTTAATAGACTTCAGGGATAATGACTTTTCATACTGCGCATGGGGTTCCCCAGGCAAGAACACCAGAGTGCGTTGCCATTTCCTTCCCCAGTGCAAAACAGAAGGCGGAAAAGGGGGAAGCAGTGACAGATTTTATTTTCTTGGGCTCCAAAGTCACTACAGATGGTGACTGTAGCCACGAAATTACAAGACCCTTGCTCCTTGGAAGAAAAGCTATGAAAAATCTAGACAGCATATTAAAAAAGCAGAGATATCACTTTGCTGACAAATGTCTATAGTCATGCATGGATGTGAGAGTTGGACCATAAAGGTTGAAGGCTGAAGAACCATGGTGTTGGAGAAGACTCTTGAGAGTCCCTTGGGCAGTGAGGAAATCAAACAAGTCAATCCTAAAGGAAATCAACCCTGGATATTCATTGGAAGGACTGTTGCTGAAGCTGGAGCCTCAATATATTGGCCACCTGTTGCAAAGAGCCGACTCACTAGAAAAGACCCTGACGCTGGAAAAGATTGAGGGCAAGAGGAGAAGGGGACAATACAGGATGAGATGGTTAGATAGCACAATGACTCAATGGACATGAATTTGAGCAAACTTCGGGAGACAGTGGAGGACAGAGGAGCCCTAGGCGCCACAGTACATGGGGTCACAGAGTGGGATAGGACTTAGAGATTCAACAACAAAAACAGGGAGGATAATGATCAGCTGTTTCTTTAGGGCGATCACTTGGCACTACAGTAGATGGTATGGAAGGAAGAGACGATGGGATCAGGGAAGTAGATTATAAAACTGATGAAGAGATGGGAGCAGGGACTGAAGCTGTGAAAGCCTCTTAAGACCCACCCTATATGGAGAAAGACCTCTGAATGCATTAGCTTTCCCTTTCTCCCGCCTGCCCATCTCCACCCAAAATCCTGCAACGCTAGTGAAATCTTCCGCCCAAACGTTGACACTTAATTGTCTTTTATTTTATTCCGTTTGTTTCCTCTGCATTATTCAAGTCTCCGTAAGTACGAACAGTACAATAAACGTTTACGGAATTGAGACGGCTTGTGAAGTCGCCCAAAGCCAAACAACGCGCCCTGTGTTACTCAACGGCCCCGCCGCCCCGCCGCACACGCGGGCCCAGCCCTTGGCTGCGGAGCAGTCAGGACCAGTCCACCGAGCCGCTTCCGGAGGGTAGATTGAGTCATCACATCCCTAATCTAATTATCGCCACCTCCCAAGACTCTCCAGACCGGCTCCAGACACCCAGCTCGGCTGCGAGACCCGCCGCGTCCACCAGAGGGCGTGTCTCCCTGGCTTCCGCATTCGGAAAAGCCCGTTCTCAGGGCGCAGCCAAAAAAAAAAAACAACTCGGATTTATTTCGGCCCTCTGCGGATGCCGTACCCAGGCTGTAAACAGGAAGTGGAATTCTATTTGGGAGTTGACTTTGGGGTGAAAAAAAGGCCAGGGACATGGGGGAGACGCGCCCACTCCGCTGGTGAGTACGTTTTCGGGGAGCTCGGGCCCAGTCTCCACTTTTGTGCCTCCCTCGCCCGCTCCTGCGCCGGTTCACGTGTTTTGCCACGACCATGGCCGAATACTCCTATGTGAAGTCCACCAAACTCGTGCTCAAGGGAACCAAGGCCAAGAGGTAAGGACGCGGGTTTGTGTGGGAGATTCTCGCCCTCTTTCTCGACTCCCCTCAGCCTTCCCCTCCCTGGGGCGAGTATCCTGGGGCCGCTGGTAGCTGTCATTCAGGCTCCCAGTCCTTGGGCCTGGCCTCCTGCCGGAATGCACAGATGTTGCGCGCACCTGGGGGACCAGGAGCCACAAAGTCGGATTTCCCTTGATGAACCCCACCTCCAGATCTATGCTTGGTAGGACTGTGTTAGTCTGGTCGTGTGGGTTATAACAGTAACTCCCTTTATTAGGGATAACTCTTTTCAACATGGCTTCACTGCCACCTTTAAAAAAAATTAATTTTAATGCAATATGCAGATACGGATTTTGAAAAGGCTATGGGTTCAAACCTGGACTCCACCAATTACTAATCTTATGGCAGGTTCGTCAGTATCATTGAGCTTCCTCTTGGGGAGGGGATTAGTGATACTCCAGAAGGGTTGTTTTGAGGATTAAACGAGGTGATGTGTACAGTAAATAAGTAGAGCCAAATGCAAGGAAGAAGTTACCCTGGTGATTTATGAGTATGAGATTTTTTAGGAAAAGATATCTGCTCACTCATACCTACACCTCTTTTTTAACTGGTAGATTTGCTCAGGGTTGATCAATTTACACAAATGCTGAGTATTTCATCCTGGTCCCAGTGATAAAGAGTTTTCGGTACTTTTAGATGGGATGGAAGGAAAGTGTCAAGAAGCAAGCTGAAGCCACTACTCTTAAGAACTCTGCCTAGGGGTCTGGGATTAAGAATTCATCCTGAATACATGAGAAACTGTTACTGCCTGAATTCATAGGAGGGAGGAGAGAGTTAGCTTCTGAAAGCTTATTTTGTGATGAAAATGCAAACAAGTGTGTCTTATAATCATTATAACTATCAATATAATTAACACATGTAGCATTTCATATGTGCCAAAAACTGTTGTAAGCAATGCCTATTAATTTTTTTTAAAGTCACTCGGGTTTTTTATTGTTGAGATATACTACATATACTATAAAGTTCGCCCTTTTAAAGTAGAATTCAGTGGGTGTTAGTGTATTCACAAGGCTCAACACTGTTGAGTTGCTGAACGTTTGCATCCTCTTAGGAGGAAGCCCACCATCATTAGCAGTCACTCCACGTTCTGCTCATCCCCTAATCCCTGGCAACCACTAATCCACATTTTGTCTGTATCAGTTTGCCTCATAAACATTCCATATAAATGGAATCATACAATATGCAGGGTCAGACACGACTGAACGGCTGAACGATACAATATGCAGCCTTTTGTATCTGGCTTCTTTTACCTAGGATAACATTCTCAACATTCATCTGTGTTGTATCAGTACTCATTCCTTTTATGGCTGAATAATATTACATTAAGGTCTTCCCAGGTTGGGAAAGACTAGAGATCTCTTCAAGAAAATTAAGAGATACCAGGGGAACATTTCATGCAAAGATGGGCTCAATAAAGGACAGATTGGTATGGACCTAACAGAAGCAGAAGATGTTAAGAAGAGGTGGCAAGAATACGCCAAAGAACTATACAAAGAAGATCTTCACAACCCAGATAATCATGATGGTGTGATCACTCACCTAGAGCCAGACGTCCTGGAATGTGAAGTCAAGTGGGCCTTAGGAAGCATCACTATGAACAAAGCTAGTGGAGGTGATGGAATTCCAGTTGGGCTATTTCAAATCCTAAAGGACGATGCTGTGAAAGTGCTGCACTCAATGTGCCAGCCAATGTGGAAAACTCAGCAGAGGCCNCTTAAAGCTCAACATTCAGAAAACTAAGATCATGGCATCTGGTCCCATCACTTCAAGGCAAATAGATGGGGAAACAGTGTCAGACTTTATTCTTTTGGGCTCCAAAATCACTGCAGATGGTGATTGCAGTCATGAAATTGAAAGACGCTTACTCCTTGGAAGGAAAGTTATGACCAACCTAGACAGCATATTAAAAAAACAGAGACATCACTTTGTCAACAAAGGTCCATCTAGTCAAGGCTATGGTTTTCCTAGTAGTCATGTATGGATGTGCGAGTTGGACTATAAAGACAGCTGAGCACTGCAGAATTGATGCTTTTGAACTGTGGTGTTGGAGAAGACTCTTGAGAGTCCCTTGGACTGCAGGGAGATCCAATCAGTCCATCCTAAGGGAGATCAGTCCTGAATATTCATTGGAAGGACTGATGTTGAAGCTGCAACTCCAAAACTTTGGCCACCTGATGTGAAGAGTTGACTCATTGGAAAAGACCCTGATGCTGGGAGGGATTGAGGGCAGGAGGAGAAGGGGACGACAGAGGATGAGATGGTTGCATGGCATCACTGACTCGATGGACATGGGTTTGGGTAAAGTCCATGAGTTGGTGATGGACAGTGAGGCCCAGCATGCTGTGGTTCATGGCATCACAGAGTCGGACACTGAGTGACTGAACTGAACTGAACTGAAGGTGGCTCAGTGGTAAAGAATCCCCCTGCCAATGCAGGAGACACAGGTTTGATCTCTGGGTGAGGAAGGTCTTCTGGAGAAGGAAATGGCAGCCCACTCCAGTATTCTTACCTGGGAAATCCCATGGACAGAGGAGCCTGGTGGGCCACAGTCCATGGGGTTGCACATAGTCAGACACGACTGAGTGGCTAAACCACCACCAGTGCTCCATTATATGGATATAACACATTTTGTTTATCCATACATCAGTTGATGGACATTTGGGTTTCCATTTTGGAGACATGAATAATGCTGCTATGAATATTCTTATGTGAGTTTCTGTGCAGACCTATGTTTTCATTTCTCTTGGGTGTCAACCTAGGAGGAGAATCGTTAGATCCAATGGTTTCCATAAACCTAATTCCATACTTTTCAAGAACTCCAAACTCTTCTGGTTGCATCATTTTACATTTTCACAAGTAATGTATGAAGATTATGCCTTAACTCCTAATCCTCACAGTAAGAGTTGGGTTAAATTGTTATCCTCATTTGTATAGGTGGGGAAATTGACAAATTAAGTAAATTCTCCAAACAAATCACAGAGCTAAGAAATGACAGAATCAGGATTCTAAAAGGCAGTCTGGCTCCAGAGTCTGTTCTCTTTAACTGCAACACAATACAAACAGGATCAGAAGTAACTTCTCTGTATTAGAAGTAAAAGGGTATATCAAGGAATATTGTTATATATCAGTAATTTATGTACCAGTGTACATCTTAGAAGAGTCCTCTAAGATTCCATCGGATGATATTTAGTATGCAAATCAATATATCTAAACTCATCTATATAAATTATCCCCTGTAGTAAGAAGAAAAAGAGCAAAGAGAAGAAGAGAAAAAGAGAAGAAGATGAAGAAACTCAGCTTGATATTGTTGGTGAGTCAGTTTTCTATTACTTCATTCTGAGAAAAGTTAGCATTGGTTGAGATCCCCTTAAAAATATTTTCCTAGTAAAGATGAGTAGTAAAAAGAAAGTAGAAGGAATTTATGGCCGACTCACATTTGTCTTAAAATGCTCAAATATTAGAGTTATAGGCTGCCTTTATGTTCTAGCACGGTTGATGTCTGATGCCTTTTCTTCATCGTCAAAACAAAGCACAGGAGAGAGGAAACACAGGTCTCTGACTTCATAGGTGCTACCGTTGGACTACCTAATAGCCCAGAGATTCTGATAGATCATTTTAAAGGGCTGATACCTATAAATATCATTTAACCAAATATAGTATACAAATTATTTTCTCTCTTTTCATCATATTGATATCCAGATATCATACTGATAGACTTCCTTTCTCAACAAAGTGCTTTGGTGTCTTTGTCAAAAATCAGTTGACTTTATATATGTCAGTCTATTTATGGACTCTGTTCCTGCAGTTTGTTGTTCTTTGATATATTTGTCTTGATTACTGTCATTTCATAAAGTCTTGAAATCAGGTGGTGTGAATCTCCCAGCTTTATACTTCTGTACTTCTTTATAGTCTTGTAGATCCTTTGTTCAGTTCAGTTCAGTCACTCAGTTGTGTCCGACTCCTTGCGACCCCATGAATCGCAGCACGCCAGGCCTCCCTGTCCATCATCAACTCCCAGAGTTTACTCAGACTCATGTCCATCGAGTCAGTGATGCCATCCAGCCATCTCATCCTCTGTCGTCCCCTTCTCCTCCTGCCCTCAATCCCTCCCAGCATCAGGGTCTTTTCCAGAGTCAACTCTTCAACTCTTCACATGAGGTGGCCAAAGTATTGGAGTTTCAGCTTCAGCATCAGTCCTTCCAATGAACACCCAGGGCTGATCTCCTTTGGGATGGTTGGATCTCCTTGCAGTCCAAGGGACTTTCAAGAGTCTTCTCCAATACCACAGTTCAAAAGCATCAATTCTGCAGCGCTCAGTTTTCTTCACAGTCCAGCTCTCACATCCATACATGACCACTGGAAAAACCATAGCCTTGACTAGACAGACCTTTGTTGACAAAGTGATGTCTCTGCTTTTTAATATGCTATCTAGGTTGGTCATAACTTTCCTTCCAAGGAATAAGTGTCTTTCAATTTCATGACTGCAATCACCATCTGCAGTGATTTTGGAGCCCAAAAGAATAAAGTCTGACACTGTTTCCACTGTTTCCCCATCTATTTGCCTTGAAGTCTGGGACCAGATGCCATGATCTTAGTTTTCTGAATGTTGAGCTTTAAGCCAACTTTCTCACTCTCCTCTTTCACTTTCATCAAGAGGCTCTTTAGTTCCTCTTCACTTTCTGCCATAAGGGTGTTGTCATCTGCATATCTGAGGTTAGTGATATTTCTCCCGGCAATCTTGATTCCAACTTGTGCTTCATCCAGCCCAGTGTTTCTCATGATGTACTCTGCATATAAGTTAAATAAGCAGGGTGACAATATATAACCTTGACATACTCCTTTTCCTATTTGGAACCAGTCTGTTGTTCCATGTCCACTTCCAACTGTTGCTTCCTGACCTGCATACAGGTTTCTCAAGAGGCAGGTCAGGTGGTCTGGTATTCCCATCTCTTTCAGAATTTTCCACAGTTTATTGTGATCCACACAGTCAAAGGCTTTGGCATAGTCAATAAAGCAGAAATAGATGTTTTTCTGGAACTCTCTTGCTTTTCGATGATCCAGCAGATGTTGGCCATTTGATCTCTGGTTCCTCTGCCTTTTCTAAAACGAGCTTGAACATCTGGAAGTGCACGGTTCACGTATTGCTGAAGCCTGGCTTGGAGAATTTTGAGCATTACTTTACTAGCATGTGAGATGAGTGCAATTGTGCAGTAGTTTGAGCATTCTTTGGCATTGCCTTTCTTTGGGATTGGAATGAAAACTGACCTTTTCCAATCCTGTGACCACTGCTGAGTTTTCCAAATTTGCTGGCATATTGAGTGCAGCACTTTCACAGCATCATCTTTCAGGATTTGAAATAGCCCAACTGGAATTCCATCACCTCCACTAGCTTTGTTCATAGTGATGCTTCCTAAGGCCCACTTGACTTCACATTCCAGGACGTCTGGCTCTAGGTGAGTGATCACACCATCATGATTATCTGGGTCGTGAAGATCTTTGTATAGTTCTTTGTATAGTTCTTTGGCGTATTTTGCCACCTCTTCTTAACATCTTCTGCTTCTGTTAGGTCCATACCATTTCTGTCCTTTATTGAGCCCATCTTTGCATGAAATGTTCCCCTGGTATCTCTTAATTTTCTTGAAGAGATCTCTAGTCTTTCCCATTCTGTTGTTTTCCTCTGTTTCTTTGCATTGATCGCTGAGGAAGGCTTTCTTATCTCTCCTTGCTATTCTTTGGAACTCTGCATTCAGCTGGGAATATCTTTCCTTTTCTCCTTTGCTTTTCGCTTCTCTTCTTTTCACAGCTATTTGTAAGACCTCCTCAGATAGCCATTTGCTTTTTTGCATTTCTTTTCCATGGGGATGGTCTTGATCCCTGTCTCCTGTACAATGTCACAAACCTCCGTCCATAGTTCTTCAGGCACTCTTATCAGATCTAGTCCCTTAAATCTATTTCCTTTGTATTTCCATATAAATTTTACAATCAGTGTATTTCTTTCTACAATAAATTCTGTTGGATTTTCCAGGAGAACTGTATTGAATCTAGAATCTAGGTCATTTGGGGAGAGTCAACATGAAGTGTACTTGGTCAGTATAGCACAGAACATATAAAATACAAATAATTTTATTTCACTAACTACTACATTTTTAAGAAAGAATTAATGATCATAGGATGTTGATAATGATTCTGAGTAAAGCTTTTTTTTTACTGACAGAAATAACTCAAATTATCATGCAAACCTCTCACTAAATTACCTGAATTGTAGTAAAACACACTTAATATGAACCCTTTTTTAGTGTACAGTTCAGTGTCATTAAGTGCATTCCCACTACTGTGCAGCCATTACCACCATCCGTCTTCAATTCAAGATGAATTTTTTTTTCATCTTACAAAACTGAAACTTTACACCCATTAAACTATAAATGCCCATACCTCCCTCTCCTCTAGTCCCTAGGAACCACCATCCTGTTTTTGATCTCTCTGAATCCAACTACTCTAGAACTGCAAAATTTTAAAAAAAGTTATACTGACAACAGCAGCAAGTAAGAACCTTCTGTCACAAATACAAAATGTAAATTTAAATGATTGATTTTATCTTTTAGGAATCTGGTGGACAGTAACGAACTTTGGTGAGATTTCAGGAACCATAGCAATTGAAATGGATAAAGGAACCTACATACATGCACTTGACAATGGACTTTTTACACTGGGAGCTCCGCATAAAGAAGGTTTGTGTCTGGTAGAGGCAATGGGATGGAAAAGGCCACTTGAAGTTAATATTTTATGGCGTTCATTCACTTACACCAAATCCTAACTAATCGCAAATACATGCCAAAGGAGTGAATCCATTGATTTGACTCTTCCACTTTTTTTCCTTCCTCACTATTTACCAGTTATTGGCAACTCCCTCTTTGCAGTGTAAGCATTTGAAAACATTCTGTGTAATTCCAAAAGGGTATCCATGGCAATCAAAACTATTGTAAATAATTGAAATAATAAAAGGAAAGAAAAAGAAAACCTAGATGAATCTAAAGTTTTAATTCCTTTACTCTTTAGACCTTTTGCCACAGCTAACCCGGGGTACTGTTAATCTGAAGTTTTCTCTTTTCTTTTAGCCCATGGGAAGAAGCACTAATGAGACACAAAGTAATTAGAAAATTACAAAGAACTTTTTATCCAAATGGTCATCCCTTGAATAAATTAAAGCATTTTAGTTTTTTAAACATTAAGTGCTTATTTGTCTATGTGCCGACTGCGTTTTAAAATGCAAGGAGATAGTATCTTGGAAGTAACTAAATAAATAAGCATCATGCTGACCTATCTCATTAGATATGTAAAACTAAACTTTAGTTTTTGTGTTTTTTTTAACATATGCTTCTCATTGACTGTTAGAGACTTTTTAAATAAACTAAAGTTTAGTTTTACATACAGAAGATAAAGTATTCTTTTTTTTTTTTTTTTTTTTTGGCTTAAAATAACACAAATTTATCACACAATTCTAGAGGTCAGAAGTCCAAAGTGAGTCTCGATCTAGAATCAAGATGTTAACAGAGCTGCATTTGAAGATAAAGTAACTCTTGATACTATGAATACTATATCGTGTGTTAAGTTGCTCAGTCATGTCTGACTCTTTGTGACCCTGTGGACTGTAGCCCGCCAGGCTCCTCTGTCCATGGGATTCTGCAGGCAAGAATACTAGAGTGGGTTGCCTTTTCCTACTCCAAGGGATCTTCCCAACCCAGGGATTGAACCCACGTCTCCTGTGTTGGCAGATGGGTTCTTCACCCATCTGTTGGTGGTGTCTGAACCACCAGGGAAGCCCATATACCGTATTATAATTACATAATGTAATAGTCTTACATTTGGTTTTAAAAGAACTACTTTTTTTTAAGCCAAAGAGTATTTTTACATGTATAAGAAATGTCAAATTTACTTCAAAATGTTTTCTCTTGTAGTTGATGAGGGCCCTAGTCCTCCAGAGCAGTTTACAGCTGTCAAATTGTCTGATTCCAGGTAAGCTTGGGTTGAACTATAATTAATACATTGTAATACAAGATGGTACGTTATAATAGGATATATCCATTAAAAGTGGTGTTTTTCAGATAACCTGCCCAGGTTGGGTACATGAGACAAGTGCTTGGGCCTGGTGCACTGGGAAGACCCAGAGGGATCGGGTGGAGAGGGAGGTGGGAGGGGGGACTGGGATGGGGAATACATGTAAATCCATGGCTAATTCATTTCAATGTATAACAAAAACTGCTGTAATGATGTAAAGTAATTAGCCTCCAACTAATAAAAATTAAAAAAAAAAAAGTGGTGTTTTTGAAGAATAATGAATTTGGGAAAATATTTGCTGCATAAAATAAGGTATTATATAGTACTTGTATTTAAAAAGTAGAATATTAAACTGTATACACAGAACCACTTGTCCAGTATGGTAGCCACTTGCCACACATGGCTTTTAAACATTGGAACTGTGGTTAATCTAAATTTTATACACACGTTTTTATGTTCCATATTTAATTTTCTCTCAGTTTTTGACATTTAACTACTTTATTAATCTGAAGAATTGCCCTGAAATCTGGATATGGAAAATACCTTGGTATAAATTCAGACGGACTTGTTGTTGGGCGTTCAGATGCAATTGGACCTAGAGAGCAGTGGGAACCCGTCTTTCAAGATGTAAGTACTATTATTTTTTTTTTACAAGCTCCTTCTCAGCATAGGAGAAAGTCTCTAACAGTCAACAAGAGCATATATTCAGACAAAACAAAAAAGTAGTGCAATAATATAATGCATTAAATTTTTACAAATTAACATGAATTCATAACCTTCAGAAGATCTCAAAAAATAGTGCAACACAGGAAAAAAAACACAACAATCAACAGAGTGAAAAGACACGCTGTAGACTGGGAAAAAGTACTTATAAGCTAGATATCTGTTAAAGGGTTAATGTCCAAAATATATAAGAAACTCATTCAGTTTTCTGAGATCTGCTCTTACTGAAGTGGATCAATGATGAAAATAGCCAAATCTGAGCATCAGAAGACCTTTTAGACTACCTGATACATGATCTCTGTAGTTCTGAGAAGCTAAAGAATTTAAAATAAAGTGTGTGTGTGTTTGTGTGTGAGTAAAGGTGACAGTAGATTACTGAGAACTTTATTGATGGGTGAGTGTATATGTGTGTGTGTGTGTATGAAAGGCTGATCAGTTCTGAGCAATGATGAAAAGGTTTTGTTACTATGGACCTTTATAACTGTGAAGGTTACTACACTTGATCTGAGCTCAGAATTTAAAAAAAAAAAAAGAAAAGAAACATTCAATAGCAAAAACAAAACTTTTTTTTTTAATTGGCAAAGAAACCGAATAGCTATTTCTCATTATATCAACAGAAGAGGCCAGCATATCATAAGGCAATATGATGAGTCAGATACTACCAGTCATACAGAACTTTAGGGATTTTCATTTCACTTTATTTTGGGGGAAGACACTACGTTTTAAAATCTTAAAGAAAGACTTAATAGTCCCTGGTTTAACAAGTAAAACTTTAACACAGAAAAGGGACTCAGTGGAAAAATCAGCAGCACAGATTTAAATCACCTTGGACTAAATCACAGCCACATCCCAGCTCACCAAGAGGCATGCAGATGACAGAAAACTCAATCCTCACTTCCTCAAATAAGAAATTAAATCAAACCCATATTATTAGCACTTTGGTCAATGGATATGATAGATTAAATTCTTCCTACACCCACAAGTCCCTCAGACATTGATTCTTAAAAGGGCTGAGCAATAAATTCAAAGGCATCAAAGGCTAGCTTTTCTGTTTTTTTCCTGCATTTCTTTCTTTTTTTAATGTTATGGAAGTATAGTTGGTTATACTTCAACTGTGATTTTTTTTTTATGTTTTCTAATTATGGAGGAAAATCTTAAAATATTGCTATTTGAGTAAAATACATTATAATTTCTTTTCTTTAAAGCTAATTAAAACAAACTGACTAAATCAGTTATATCCCAATAAATCTTTGCAGCCAAAGGATATAATTCTAGTCCATATAGTTAGAATTTAGTCCTACTAAATCTAATAGAATATACTAAAAGTACTTAATGTGATTATCTTTGAGTAGTAAGATTATAAATGATTTTGATTTATTTTTCTGTGTTTTTTTATCTTCCAGGTTTTCTTCACATTCTTTTTCCTGATTCCTTTTAGATTTGGGAAGGAATCAGTTTAATTTCAAGACTTAAGAATTCTTTTGCAGATATTCTTATAACTTATTATTTTGTTTTATTTAGGGGAAAATGGCTTTACTGGCCTCCAATAGCTGTTTTATTAGATGCAATGAAGCAGGTGATATAGAAGCAAAAAGTAAAACAGCAGGAGAAGAAGAAATGATAAAGGTAATCATGAGCGTTTTCTATAGACTAGCACACGTCACATATATGATGTGACTACATCTCTTTAAAATGTTGCAGTCTGTTCCACACTCACCAGGTGTAATGCATTAGTGAGGGTCATGGTGGAAGGCACAAAGAAATGAAAAAAAGCCTTTTTTAAAGTGGCCTAATCCTTATAAATAAAGCATAAAAATCCATGTTACATTTTCTCTACTATCAGCATAACTTAAACATGTCTATCAAGTATGTGTATACATTTTGTTTTAAATTCTGTCATATATTTTCTACTTTTTAAATATTTTCAGTTTTCATAATCTTCAGTTTTACAGTCTTACACTATTCTTTCTAACCTCGAAAAATATCACTAATCTTTTAAAACAAGAATGTTAATACCAGTAACTCTTCATTTCGTCATTTGGAGTTGACTGATAGGAGAAAGAAATACCATTCTAGATAGCTCAGGAATTAGAAGTTTTAGTATATCTTCCATGGTCTTCTCAAAAGCCATTTTCACTGCTAAAAATGTCCAAAAAAAATTAAATCTAAAACCTAGATTTTCTTTTGTTGTAATTTTTAAAAGTGTTAGTCATAATGTTTTTCAGTTATTCAATACATAAAACTAAAGCAAGTAGCTTCAGGAGCATGCGAGATTGTCTTTAGCGTTCCCCTAAGGTAGTTACTGTTACCTTTTAACTGTCCAGGGGAGGAACGGCCTCTAACCCTCCTTAAATCCTCAGTGTTTTGATCAGTCACTGCAGGAAGTCGCACAGCTAAAGTGGAGACAGAATGTGTACCCAGGCCCAACTGACCCTAGAAGTTACATTCCACAGCACGTTGCTTCTCGGAAAGCAAGTCACTAGAAAAATGCTGGTGGAGCATTCTCTGGTGGTCCGGTGGTTAAGACTCCAAGCTTCCACTGCAGGGTCACGGGTTCTATCCCTGGCCAGGGAACTAAGATCACACTCACCTATTTATTTCGTTTGTAATTATATTTAATTTTTTGTGTCATGTTTAAATTGTTTATTTGGATTACATTATAAAAGTATGATTATTGAAGACAAACAGTGCAACTCTATGAGCAGTACCTTGCACATCTACAGAAGAAAAAAAAAAATTATGCTGTATTTTATCAACAGTTGCAGCTGTTTTTATATGAAGTACCTGTCAGGTTTCCCTAGCCTGTTTGGTTAGGCAGGTACCTGGAACCTCTGAGCAGTGATAATCCAGGACTGTGTCCACCCTCCCTTCCACATTGCAGGCTCTGCTTGTCTGTGTCAGCGTCCACCTTCATACACTGGCCTTATCTACCAGAACACATCCCTTCCTGCCAAGGGTGGTATAGTGTCACAGGCCTGGCCCAGAATTTCCACAGTTCTCTGAGGACTCCTCCAGCCAGAGTGGTTGCACACATATTAATTGCACATGCCGCATTATTGCCCACAACTTTCGAAGCAATCTTGGAACGTGCTCTAAGCCACAGAGATCACTTTCAAGATGTCGATCCTTTGGGTTGCAGATTGCCAGTTCCTTGGCCCTGAATTCCATCCCCTTCCTGCCCCACTCCATTCTCCAGGCAAGACTACTGGAGTGGGTAGCCATCCCCTTCTCCAGGGGGTCTTCCCCACCCAGGGACCAAACCCCAGGCCCCCGCTGCAGGCGGAGTCTTTACTGTCTAAGCCGCCAGGGAAGCCCTGTGCCCTACTCAGTTGATCTTGATTGCTGTATCTGTGCCAGGTAATCTATGGCAGGTGATAGTATTTGTCAAAACTTACGAAGGTAAAAGGATGTAAAAGGGATAAATTCCAATTAGGTGAAAACAAATTGTGTTATGTTAAAAGATTTGAAGCATTTGGTAATAGCCTGTGCATAGTAAAACAGCTAACACTATGTTCAGTGTTATAAAGTGAACACTAAATAGCAGGATAATTTGATTCTACTGTATTTACTTATGGAGCCAAAATTAAACTAGTTAAATTATTACCTAATTGGCATAGTAATATCTGATCTGTAAAATGCTTTTCAAGTAATTTTCTCTTTAGAAGACAGAGGAACCTGGCAGGCTACCATCCCTGGGGTCGCAAAGAGTCAGACACAACTTAGTGACTAAACAACAACAGCCCTGCTCTGTAGAGTTGCTGTCACTGTCAGTACATAAAGCCTCTCAAACGTTGCCAGGACACAGGAGACTCCAGCCAACACTCCCAAGTGTTAATTAAGTTTGTAGAGCTACCCAGGCAACTGCCTTCTTGATGGTGGGATAGAAAGGTCATTTTTGTTGTTGAAAAGTTGTAAGTTATTTGAGAAAAACAGTGTTTTTAAGTAAATGAAAAACTTAAATATTTGTAAGCTTGTTAGTAAACATGTATAATCAAAGTTTGAGACATTTTTCAAGAAAGGCATTTTCTTAATAGAAAGAAATTCCAGAGCTTCCAAGACCACAAGCTTAAAATAAGTAAAGAAGACAGTAAAATTCTGAAAAAGGCCCGAAAAGATGGATTCTTGCATGAAACACTTCTGGACAGGTAAGTAAATTTTTATTCATTTCCAGCTATTTTCAGTAGCCAATAGAAGTGGTGTATAAGCACATGTTCTTTTCTTAATTACTAATTTTAAAATTTTTGTCTTTATTTCTAAGTTTTGAATGTGGTGGTATTACCTTAAAAGGGATATTTTAAGTCTGGGAAAAGATCACCAAGAAAAAGTATTTGGAAATAGCCAGGTCCCAAGTGCTTATATATTTTGTTACAAGCAATTCAGGTTTGACTGAAACTACTTCATAAATTCATTTACCATTGACTCTTTTATAACTGTTAAAACCAGGGCTAGAAAGAAGTAGTTTGACTAATTTTAAAATTCAGTGGGTCTGTTAAAAGTAGTACAGGTTTCAAAAAATAAGATAAAAATCAGTTTAAAAATGTCTAAGTATAAAACTGAAGCACTTTGTTGAGTTCATACATGTGCAATATATTCAACACAGCAAATTATTAATATTTATTTATTAGTATTCCTATTTAAGAAAGTAGTGGCCTAGATTTCCAACATTAGTAAAATGGTTGGAGAGGCTTAGCTATGAGCTTGCAAGTATAAATCAAGTAAGCACCATATCAGAAGAGAATTTGGTAATCTGCCACTTTTCAAGTCTTACGTTGCAAAGTTAGCTTTAAGATATTTCTTTAGATTACTTGGTAACAGTTCTTTATCAGGTGTTGCCTGTTAACCAGTTGATCAAGTGACTACTTGAAGACAGCAAATGATGTAATGATTATTTCCAGCTGAGCATATTAACATACCTATTTTTAGGAAATCAAGAATAGGCAATAAAAGTAATCAGGATATGGACTTAAACAGAATAAGGTCTGTGTCCTGTAACCCTTATCACTTACAATAATACAACACTCCCACCTTATTAAATAGAAGTTTAGGGCATGCTTAAATTCAGAGGCTATTAAAATTGCAGTTCTGGATTTTAAAAGCCTTTAGGCAACATGAGTTAAAGATTAGGAAAAGTTTTTTTCGTAAGAATAAAATCCCATGTATTATGAAACATTCAACTGAGAAGTAAACATTTTAATTAAAATATTTTAATATAAGTGGTGTAAGATAATAACTAAAACTGAAGACACAGTTGCTGAACACACGTTTACGATTTTAGTAGCAGGTGACTATTACATGACATATTTTTACATAGATTAATTTTTTTATTATTTGCTTTTTGTTTAAACAGGAGAGCCAAATTGAAAGCTGATAGATACTGCAAATGACCAAGATTTTTATTTCTGTCTTCTCCTTTTGTTTTTTTCTGAATAATAAAATCAGTGTTTTTACAGAATTATTGGGCTGTTTTGTAATTATAGCTGAACCAGCAGCTAGATTTAACTAAGATTAATCAAGTTTAATTGAGCTTCTCCATGGAGGTACTTTAGTTAACCGCAGTGTTTCACATGGAAATGAAACTTCGAAAGTGGCACGAAATTTTTTTTTTTCTTTTCTGGATTTCCTGTCAAAAGGATGAAGTTCTACTCTATGAAACTAATGTTTACTGTGCAGTTTGTGGAAGCTGTCTTACTGCTTTACAGTCTTACTTTCCATTTCTTAATACATAGGTGTCTGATCAGTACCTTTAAAAGGAAGTTAGAAACTCCAAGTCCATCAGCAAGACTTTGATTCTACCTCTGAAACTGCCCGATCATACACAAGCCAAGCAAATATCAGGATGAGGGCACTGGACAGAGAGAAAGAAATTGTATTAAGCAGTGGGGTGAAAACAGGAAACATCACAAAAGAGCAAGTAGGTTCAGAACAGAGGCTAAGAGTAAAATTGGGGAAATCCCCTACTTAGGATCCTCTAGCCATAACAGATATGTATATAATGCTTTCATCCTCACTTGTGGGATGGAAAGGGAGCTATCAAAGAGGTTCAGACACTAAGCATTGCTGAGGACTGCTTTGCCCAGGCAGTTTTATGCCCAGCCTGTCTCCTTCTGGGCTGAAAGAAACGCTGGGCTGGATGAAGCACAAGCTGGAATCAAGATTGCTGGGAGAAATATCTATAACCTCAGAAATGCAGATGACACCACCCTTATGGCAGAAAACAAAGAACTATAGAGCCTATTGATGAAAATGAAAGAGGAGAGTGAAAAAGTTGGCTTAAAGCTCAACATTCAGAAAACTAAGATCATGGCATCTGGTCCCATCACTTCATGGCAAATAGGGAAACAGTGGAAACAGTGACAGACTTTTTTGGGCTCCAAAATCACTGCAGATGGTGACTGCAGCCATGAAATTAAAAGACACTTAACTCCATGGAAGAAAACCTATGACCAACCTAGATAGCATATTTAAAAGCAGAGACATTATTTTGCCAACAAAGGTCCATCTGGTCAAGGCTATGGTTTTTCCAGTGGTCATGTATGGATGTGAGAGTTGGACTGTAAAGAAAGCTGAGTGCCGAAGAACTGATGCTTTTGACCTGTGGTGTTAGAGAAGACTTGAGAGTCCCTTGGACTGCAAGGAGATCCAATCAGTCCATCCTAAAGGAGATCAGTCCTGAATATTCATTGGAAGCACTGATGTTGAAGCTGAAACTCCAATACTTTGGCCACCTGATACGAAGAACTGACTCATTTGAAAAGACCCTGATGCTGGGAAAGATTGAAGGCAGGAGGAGAAGGGGACGACAGAGGATGAGATGGTTGGATGGCATCACC